GAGCTCTAGCCCTCCTGGGTGGGGTCGGAGGGTCGCGCCGCATCGCCGATGGCACCGGCGATGCGGCTCGCTGTGGAGCCCTGCTTCACGTCGACGTCGCCGATGCATCGCCCACGTCGACGATGCATCTCTGGTGCATCGCCGATGCGTCGCCGATGCATCGCAGATGCATCGCCGATGTATCGGTGATGCGGCGCGATCCTCCGACCCCATCTACTCCGACCCCATCCAGGAGGCCTCTAAGAACAAAAAAACAACGTAAACATTCATTTTTGGAGCTCCGCGGATGTCTTGGATCGGCGCTGGGCCCCCCTGGCGCACATGGAGGGAGGGTTAGGCGCAGTTCCGAGGTATCCGCGCGGACCCCAGAAACAACATGTTTATGCTGTGCTTGTCTTTGCTGTGGCCAACCTCAGATCTCCAACGTTATGATGGTTGTCAATCCCAGCGTTTCTTTTCGACTTTGGCCCCCAGGAGCAGCTTTCGGGCCCTGTGGGCAGCATGCTCTCGTCGCTCAGTTGTGGCGGCTGCAAGGGGGCGCCAACTATCCGAAGCGGGGATATTATCTATATCTTCCGCCTGGGGAGCCGAAGCCCGGGGCACGCAGCGGGCTGTGGACATTAGCAGCTTACTTGCCCTGGTCTCCTCCTCCTCCTCCTCCTCCTCCTCCTCCTCCTCCCCTCCTCCTCCTCCTCCTCCTCCTCCTCCTCCTCCTCCTCATCCTCATCCTCATCCTCATCCTCATCCTCATCCTCATCTCCATTCTTATCCTCATCGTCTCCCTCCTCCTCCTCCTCCTCCTCGTCCTGATTCTGAGTCCTCTCAAGGCTGGAGCGGGCAGCTGTCGTACACCCACGACTGCGGAGGCAGAAGGGCGTGGCACGACGTTATGATTTCGGATCCGGGCGCCGTTGCGCACCCGAGGCCGCAGCTGCCGGTCGACGTCAGGAGAGCTTATGGCAGCGCCGCAGGTGTCGGTACGATCGAAATGAATGCGCAGGATGTGGGTGCGAAGACCGACCGCATGTCCTGCCCGTTTTGCACAGGACTCTTTGTCGGTGTCGCTGAGGGCGTGGTCCGCTTGAGAGAGAAAGCCGCCTGCCCAACAGCGGCCCCTGTCGGTTTAGACAACTTGTTAGGTCGGTCATCGTACCCATTGTTTCCGATGCTCGTTTAGGGACCTTGGAGTCCACTGGACTGATCTGTTCGACTCTTTCTCGATTGTAGTTCGACTCTAGCTCGACTCTAGCTCGACTTAACTTCGATTCAAATTTGATAAAAGTCGACGGACGTTCGACACAGCCTCGACGGATGAGTGGAGCGAGTGGTTCCAGCAAGGTCCCCAGAACGAGTATCGTACATTTCGGGCCTCCAAGCAGGCGATCTTAGTGGATCACCCGTGGTCGACGCCAGGAGGACTCACGGCACCCCTAGCGGAGCGGGCGATCCCTCGTGCTCGCCCGCGGCGGGGCAGATCCGCAGGTCGACGACGCAGGCCACCGTGTTCGACGTGACTCCTGTGGCGGTGTCGCCCGCGGGCTTCGACGCGCCCGTGGATTACCAGGGGCTTGACGTGGGTAGCAGGAGACTTTTTTGAGCGTCTGGCGGTAGCCCTGGTCATCGGGCCCGCCCGCCCCTCCCCCGCTCCCTACTGATGACCGGACCTTGCTGCCGCAGTACTGTCGGGCCGAACGAAAGGGGGGACAGGGAAAGGGGGGGCTAAGAAATCTGCTGCATGCGGCTGGTTTCGGCCCCGCCGCCGGGCCCACTCCTCGATACACGGGCGCCTCCCGGCGCCGGGAGGCGCCGGGAAAATCAGCTGCGTGAGCTGATTATCAACCCCCCCCTCTGCTATTCCCCCCTTTCGCCCGGCCCGATACTGGTGCGCGCGGGCATGCGTGGGGCTACCGGAAGCGAGAAGGCTGGGTTATCGGCCGGCACTTCCCCCCCTCCCCCACCAGAGAACCTGGGCTGCCGCCGAAGAATGCAACGCGATCTCCAGGGTAGAGGTGCTGTACGAAGGGGAGTGGCACAGAGGCACCGTCATGGCGCCGCCTCACGAGGACCGAGGGCCACCCTGCACGTGTGCTGCGAGGGCCTTGCGGCCGGTGCCGCCGACCCTGAGGGACGACGACGGCAACGGCGGCGGCGGCGACGACGACGCTGACGTGGGCCAGAGGGATGCTTCTTGGGGTCTCTTCGGAAGGCTCTCGGGGGCCTCTGGGGACGAATTCTGGAGCCTCTCGGGAGCCTCTCGGGAGCCTCTTGGGGGCCTCTTGGGGGCCTCTCGGGAGTGGTCTTGGGGGCTCGACGTGGGCAGCAGGGCAGGGGTGCTGTGCGAGGGGGAGTGGCGCAGAGGCACGATCGTGGCGGCGCCTCACGGGGACCGAGGGCCGCCCTGCAGTCATATGTGTCTTCCAGGTTTGTTCACCAACCGCACTGTCGACCGCGTGAAGCAGCTGCAGATGTTGCCCAGCCCCCCCATCCCTCCTCCCCCAGACCACTACATTACGTGACTATCTGCTCTCTCTCTCTCACTCCCTCTCTCTCTCTCTCTCTCTCTCTATATATATATATATATACATCTCTCTCTCTCTCACTCTCACTCTCTTTCTATCCCGCTCTCCCTCGCTCTCCCTCTCCCCCCCTCCCTCTCCCTCTCCCTCTTTTTTCCCAACCATCCTGTGGTGTTGGGTCCTCGTTTTGAAGAGACAGCGCCCCGCGTTCACTCCTCCTCCCGCTGCCCCCTCCCTCCTGCCATCATCATCATCATCATCATCATCACCATCATCATCATCATCATCATCATCATCATCATCATCATCATCATCATCATCATCATCATCATCATCATCATCATCATCATCATCATCATCATCATCATCATCATCATCATGTGGCTGCGCTCCCATGCGCCCACCGCACCCATTTCGGCACACCCCTCACACGTTTCGTGGCCCCATAGGGAGCTCCAGCGAAGGCCCCAGTGGCTGCGCTCCCATGCGCCCGCCGCACCCATTTCGGCACACCCCTCACACGTTTCGTGGCCCCATAGGGAGCTCCACCGAAGGCCCCAGTGGCTGCGCTCCCATGCGCCCGCCGCACCCACTTCGGCACACCCCTCACACGCTTCGTGGCCCCATAGGGAGCTCCAGCGAAGGCCCCAGTGGCTGCGCTCCCATGCGCCCGCCGCACCCACTTCGGCACACCCCTCACACGTTTCGTGGCCCCATAGGGAGCTCCAGCGAAGGCCCCAGGGCTGCGCTCCCATGCGCCCCCGCCGCACCCATTTCGGCACACCCCTCACACGTTTCGTGGCCCCATAGGGAGCTCCAGCGAAGGCCCCAGTGGCTGCGCTCCCATCCCATTTGCGTGGCCCCACCGAAGGCCCCACATGCGCCCCGATTTCGGCACACCCCTCACACGTTTCGTGGCCCCATAGGGAGCTCCACCGAAGGCCCCAGTGGCTGCCTCCCATGCGCCACCGCACCCATTTCGGCACACCCCTCACACGTTTCGTGGCCCCATAGGGAGCTCCAGCGAAGGCCCCAGTGGCTGCGCTCCCATGCGCCCACCGCACCCATTTCGGCACACCCCTCACACGTTTCGTGGCCCCATAGGGAGCTCCCGAAGGCCCCAGTGGCTGCGCTCCCATGCGCCCACCGCACCCATTTCGGCACACCCCTCACACGTTTCGTGGCCCCATAGGGAGCTCCAGCGAAGGCCCCAGTGGCTGCGCTCCCATGCGCCCACCGCACCCATTTCGGCACACCCCTCATACGTTTCGTGGCCCCATAGGGAGCTCCAGCGAAGGCCCCAGTGGCTGCGCTCCCATGCGCCCACCGCACAGATTTCGGCACACCCCTCACACGTTTCGTGGCCACCGCACAGATTTCCGCACACCCCTACAGCGCCATCGAAGAAGATACTCACAATTGCGGTACTCGCAACTGCATCTGGTTGGGTCCTTCGCCAGGATATCTTTTGTTTGTTTCTCTCTCTCTCTCTCTGTCTCGGAAGTTGTCGTGGCCGCTGCTCTTGCCTGGGCGCCGTTCTTACCCGCAAGCGCATTACAGGTAGCATGTTTGCTTTCAGTGGGGAAAGAGAGAGAGAGAGAGAGAGAGAGAGAGAGAGAGAGAGAGAGAGCGAAAGGCGGAATGAGGAAGACGCCATCGTCGCCTGGCCTGCGCGCGGACTGCAAGACATCTCTTTGGGACCGCGCGCACCGTTGGCCTCGACTGGCGATGCTGCCACACATCCTGTGCCACGCGCCCTGCCTGTCGCGTGCGGTTCTCTGGCGGGCACCATCCTCGCTCTCTCTCTCTCTCTCGTCCCTTCTCCCGTTTCCTTGGAAAACATGTCCCTCCGTAGCCTTCGGCATCCCAGCTGGGGTCCGAGCAGACGGGGTCGGAAGCTCGCGCCACGTCGCCAATGCATCGACAGTGCGGTTCGATGCAGCGCCCGATTTTCGCCACGCCGATGCCGCCGATGCAACGCCGATGCGTCGCCGATGCACCGCCGATGCACCGCCGATGCACCGCCGATGCACCGCCGATGCATCGGCGATGCGGCGCGTTCCTCCGAACTCCCTCTGCTCGGACCCCGTCTGGGAGGCCTCCAGTAGCCGTCTTGGCCCAGGCCAGTCCTGCCAAGATCGCTGGCGGCCGCCTCCTTTTGCAACAACAAGCCAGGGCTCGACCTGGTGTTTGGGGGGATCTCGTGGGCCGTGATATTTCGTTCTGCAGCAAGGGCGGACTGAAACCAAGACGAAAACCAAAACGAAAACGAAAAACACAATCCCGCTCGTGGGGATCGTCATGAGCGCGTACTTCATGCGCAGGGGGAGGAGGGAGAAGGAGGAGGAGGAGGAGAGAAGAGAAGAGGAGGAGGTGGAGGAGGAGGAGGAGGAGGAGGAGGAGGAGGAGGGAGGAGAGAGAGGAGGAGGAGGAGGAGGAGGAGGAGGAGGAGGAGGTCGATCCCTGAGCAGCAGAAGCTGGGCTATGATGATGGCGGGCACCTGCGCCGCGCGCCCCGCTGCGGCGGCGCTGGCCCTCTGCCTCGCGCTCGGGCTCCTCCGCGCCTTCGTGCCCGGGGCGGCGCACGGCGCCGCGGCGCAGCGACCCGCGGCGGCGCAGGCGAGCGATAGGTCGGGCAGGTCCCTCGACAGGAGGAATATTCAAAAATAGTCCCAACATAGTCTCTGGGCGATTCGTCTACTATTTTTTGGATGTTTGATTAATTGTCGACTACGTTTCACTTGTCCTCCAAAATCCGCCTGCAGGGGGACATGCCCGACCTAAGGCGAGCGGCGCCCCGATGGGGATGGGGGAGCAGCCCCAGGAGCGGAGGGCACCAACCAACCTCAGAGGCTCTCCAGTGCTGCGCCCCCCTTCCCCCCCCCTAAGCCTCCGGCGGGAAATAGGTCCTCCTCCTACTCCTCCTCCTCCTCCTCCTCCTCCTCCTCCTCCTCCTCCTCCTCCTACTCCTACTCCTACTCCTACTTCTACTCCTCCTCCTCCTCCTCCTCCTCCTCCTCCTCCTCCTCCTCCTCCTCCTCCTCCTCCTCCTCCTTTCCCTCCCTCCCTCCCTCTTCCTTCTCCTCCTGCTCCTCCTCTTCCTCCTCGTCTTCCTCATCCTCCCTCCTCCTCCATTCCTTTTCCTTGAACCTACCTTCTCCCTGTCGCACCCCTAGGCCAGTTTTCAGGGCGGGCCGGTCGTTTCGCCTGAGACTTCCTCACCAATTATGACCCTGAAGCTTAAACATTGGCAACCGTTTCACACATGAAGGGCGGGTTGTTTTCAAAACGTGGCTCTCGCCTTAGCGCCGCGCACATTGGTTTAAACATGTGCAAGAGCTTCACGGATTGAGGGCGCGTGGTTTTCAAAATGCGGTTCTCGCCATAGCGCCGCGCGCTCTCGTCTTTAACATTTGCAAGGGGTTCACAGATGGAGCGCGGGCCGTTTTCAAAATGTGGCTCTCGCTTCATCGCCGCGCACATTCGTTTCAAACATTTGCAGTAGCTTCACTGATTGAGGGCGGCTCATTTTCAGAATGTGGTTCTCGCTTTAGCACCACGCACATTCGTTTTCGAAATTTGCAAGAGCTTGACGGATTGAGGGCGGATGGTTTTCAAACTGTGATTATCACTTGACCGCCGCGCAGATTCGTTTTCAAATTTGCAAGAGCTTCACGGATTGAGGGCGGCCTTTTCAAAATATGGCTCTCGCCTTCGCGCCGCGCACATTCCCAGGAGTTCCACGGATTCCCATGATCAGCGCACCAGAAATAGCGATTTGGAAGGATTCGGGTTACGAGGGCGGAACAGTTACGTTGATTCACGGTGTTGAAGTCCCATGAACGGCTCTCTGGCGCGATGGATTCAGGATCGTCACGACGCAACTGTCAGGTTGATCTGTGGCGCTGGAATCCCCAGAACACTGTTTTGTCATGCTTCAGGAGCTTCAAACGGTTGTCTTCCAACGAGGCAGTTCCCTCAGTGGGAATGAACCGTTGTAGGGGCCTATGAAGAGGGAGCTTGGAGGGATGGTTTATTCCAACATCGTTGATGACTCGTGGGTTTACACTGGTCCTCCTCCTCCTCCTCCTCGTCTTCCTCCTCCTCCTCCCTCCTCCTCCTCCTCCTCCGATTCCTCCTCCTCGTTTTCCTCCTCCTCCCCCTCCTCCTCCTCCTCCTCCTCCTCCTCCTCCTCCCTCGCCCTCCTCTATCGCCTTCCGATGGGGATGGGGGAGCAGCGTCAGGATTCGAAGAAGCACACACGACATAAACAGAAATTTGTGGCGCGCGGACTTCTTGGATCCGCGCTGGGTCCCCCCGGCGGCGCCTCCGGCGCCGCCCCTGGCGCGCGGAGCGCGCCAGGAGTGGCGGGCGTAGTGGCCAGGGTGGGGTTCGCCCCCTCCTCCGCGCGGGCAGCAACATTTTAGCAGTTGGAAGCGGGACACAGGAACTACAACATTGGAAACTGGAAATTGGAAACTTCATTGGAAGTGCGGCCTGGAACGAGGAGCTCAGGACGGGTACCTACGTTGCTGAGGCCCGTGCCTCGCAGCCTGGTGGCCACGCAAGGGGGCCGACGGATACACCTACACCGATCCCGACCAGGCCGGTCTTGGGCCGAGGATCGGTGCATATGCCTTCCAGCCCAGGCCAGGAGGGAAAATACTCAAGGGAGGAAGAACCACCCCGACCCCGAGAATTGGCGTTTACTGAAAGGCCATGGCCGCATACTAAACAGCCCCGTCCTGCTCGATTCCTCCACTGGGCGCGTTTGCTGAACGGCTTCGCTTGTCGGGGTGCACATGATACACTGATCCCAGTCGGCCTGGCCAGGATCGGCGTGAGGTGTATGGTTGGTGGCCTCCCGCAGGAGTCCCCCCTGCTGGGCGCGGCCACGCGCCTCCTCGCTGGGGCCGCGGCGGCGGGCCTGCTGGCGGGCCTCTCGGCGGGTGCCGCGCGCGCGGAGATCGAGGACGTCGAGGGAGGAGGTGCCTGCGGACGGGGCTGGGAGGCTAGGACGAGGATAGATCCGCTCCAGGGCGTTCAGGAACGCTCTCAGACCGTTCCGGAACGCACGTTCTGAGAAGGCCGCGGCACAGGATACATCCTTCGAAGAGGAAAAAACGGTATGAACATGAACTTTGGGCGCTCCGCGGTTTTCTTGGGTCCGCGCTGGGGCCCCCCCTGGCGCCGCCTCTGGCGCCGCCCCTGGCGCGCTCCGCGCGCCAGAGAGGGGTGTCCAGCGCAGATCCAAGAAGTACGCGCGGAGCACCAACAGTTTATGTGTATGTCGTTTTTCTTTTTCTAATCCTCCAAGGCCGCCAGATCTCAGAGCTTCTCGATTTCTCCTCCCCCGGAATAATTATCGTCCTGGCTTCGTCTTTTGCCTCTGCCCCTGCTCGTCTTGGAGAGCCCCGTTGCCACGGCCGGAGTATCCTCGGAGGTCTGGTCGCAGCGCACGCCAGGAGAGGTCCGTGGAGTAGCGGCATCCGTACCTCTTTGTCCCGTCCTGGAGAGCCCTAGCCGCCACGGCTGGAATCTCCTCGGAATGTTGGTCAGAGCGCACGCCAGGAGAGGTCCGTGGAGTAGCGGCATCCGTACTTCTTTATCCCAAGGACGTGGCCATCCCCGTGGACGGCAAGGGCAAGACCAGGAATCTCAGCAAGGAGGAACTCATCCGCGGCAAGCGCCTGTTCAACGTCGCGTGCGGCACCTGCCACGTCGGCGGTGGCACCCGCACCAATCAGAGCGTTGGCCTCGGCATCGAGGAGCTCTCTGGCGCATTCCCGCCGCGCAACACCATCGACTCGCTAGTCGACTACATCAACGCCCCGACCACCTACGATGGCCTCAAGGACATCTCGGAGGTGCACCCGTCCATCATCGCGGCGGATTTGTGGCCCAAGATGCGATCGATGAAGCAGCAGGATTTGTACGACATATCCGCTTACATCCTTTACCAGAATTACGTCATCCCCGAGAAGTGGGGCGGCGGCAAGCAGTATTACTGAGTCGTACGGTAGATTTTTTTAGATTGTTGGGCCCATGTGGGGGTCTCCCCCATCTCCCCGCTAACTTCCCCATCTTCATGCTCATCTGTTTTTGTTACGCTGGGCGAACTCGAGGTGCTTGCTTGTAGCGGTCGTGCGACAAAATGCGACGTAGCAATGTGTCACACAAACTAAGGTTGTTGCCAGTGAGGGCGCTAGTAGGGCCACACGACATGGTAGAATACTAGGTGCCCAAGGGGATCGGAGTAACTAAGCAGGCAGCCGATGGGAGGAGAGGGAGACACGACCATAACACATATGAACATAACATGCAAGTGGGGGAGCCGAAAAGGAGAGATCGAGATACACGCGCGACCTAAGCAGAAAGCGTGCTCCCTGTGGTCTCGGGCCCCTAGGGTAAGTCGGGCAGCTGTAAAGTCATGCGGCTGACGCGATTGACACTTTACTCATCCCTCCGCCCATAGCTCAACTCGACCTCCATCCCACCCATCACTTCCCAAGTGTCTGTAGGTTTGCGCGGTCGCAGGGCTTGAAATGAATGGGGCTAAAAAGGGCAGTATACGCTGGCAGTTTCTGTAGTCGGGCTTGTCGGCGATGGCTGCGGGCATTCAAGTAGAGCGCCAAGTGAGTAAGCTGTCAGATGTAGTAGGGCGGCTGGGCTGATTTACCCGAGGCAGTACATATTCAGTTACATGTGAGGTGGGAGAGGCGACAAACGTACAGCGGCCCACAGTAGGGCTGACGTCCCCTCCGCAGAAGGCCAAACTGGCCAGATGTCGACTCCCCCTCCCCCCACTACCCCTTGATCACCCAACCCACTGCCCAAGATATAATGCAGGAGGTAAGTAGGGAGTACTGGGCTGGGTTGTTGATATTGATGGACTGGCTCTGCTCGTGTAGGCTGGCCTGAGAGCTGAAGAGAAAGAGTAGGGCTCACGTCGTAGGGTCGCGAGTTGAGCGGCTGATATGGTAAGAGTTGGCAGGCACGGTAAGGATCCGCCTAATGCTGGATAAAAGGGGGAGCACCCTGGGCAGCTTGGCGCAGGGTGACATGTAGACTGAAGGTGCCTGCAGTAGGCCGCGGCGCGTAGCGTTGCCTTGGGGGTACTCGGGGCCCAGGGGTACGGGGCGGGCCCGCCCACAGAGACCCAAGGTGGGGTGACACACATTATTTCCCACTCCGCCAATCCATCGTAATCCCACACCTCCCACACATCAGCGTTATGAAATGCTGGACGCGGTTGCGAGAGAGTGATCCGAGAAGGGCAACGCATGGAGAATGGGTATGCCCGGACCGTGGCGAGCATATTGGTGGCCTCTGGAGAGGCTGAGTCGGGCATGGGAAGCCATGCGGTAGAACATCGGAATCCTCCTCCTCCTCCTCCTCCTCCTCCTCCTTCTCCTCCTCCTCCTCCTCCTCCTATTCATCCTCCTCCTCCTCCTCATCCTGATCCCCATCCTCATTCTCATCCTCCTCCTCCTCATCCTCCTCCTCCTCCTCTCCAGCCCTCCTCCCTCCCTCCCTCCCTCCCTCCTCCTCCCCTCCTCCTCTCCTCCTCCTCCTCCTCCTCCTCCCTCCTCCTCCTCATCTCCTCCTCCTCCTCCTCCTCCTCCTCCGCTTTCCTCTCCTCCTCGGCAGCCTCCCCATTCTCCCTCCTCTCCTCCTCCTCTCCTCCTCCTCCTCCTCCTCCTCCTCCTCCTCCTCCTCCTCCCTCCCTCCCTCCCGCCCTGCCTTCCTCCTCCCTCCCTCCCTACCTCCCGCCCTCCCCCCCCTTCCTGCTCTTCCTCCTCCTCCACCTCCTCCTCCTCCTCCTCCTCCTCCGCAGTCCCAAAATGACACCGCGCTGGAAGGTTACCAATCTACCTCGGTCCCATGCTCCTCCTCCCCCGACACCTTCGCTCTAGACGCCCTCGGACCCCTTCAAGAGAAGGAGGAGGAGGAGGAGGAGGAGGAGGAGGAGGAGGAAAAGGATGCAATGGACCACCGTAAACCCAAGACGCATCAACGATGTAGCAATGCATCTTCCCTCCCATGTTCCTTTTGCATAGGTCCCCGGAAGACCTCATATTCATCATTGCTGGAAGCGCCCAGTTGTTTACAACAGCCTGGAAATCCTCAATCGTGCCACAGCACCACTCTTTCGACTTCAGCGCTGCAAGGCAACTTTACTGTTTTGGCCTGACGATCTTGGGACTACAGCATTCTTGGGACTACCACACAGCGCGCCAACGTGACGTTTGCACCGTGACAACCCACTTTCGTGCCCGAGCGCAAGTCCCTGGACGTCAACCAGTATGAATCGTTTAATGGTTGTAAAAGTTATAAATGATGCGCGCGGCGCTAAGGCGGGAACCACATACTGAACAAGAGCCGGCCTCCATCCGCGAAGTCTTAGCCTTTGCGCGAATGCGATAGCCACATCTTGAAGTCAGAAAAAGCCTTCCACCCGTGAACCACTTGCAAGTGTTTAAGACGCGTGCACGCCGTGGTAGGGCGATAACCACATTTTGACAAGTAACCGCCATCCATCCGCGAAGCTCTCGCAAGCTTTTAGCACGAAAGCGCGCAGCGCTACGGAGATAATTGCATTGTGAAAACGGCCCGCTCTCTATCCGTGAAACTCTCGCACACTTTGAATATGCGCGCGGCACTGCGGCGAAAGCCACATTGTGAAAACCACCCGCCCCGCATCCGCGCAGCGATTGCAAACTTGCAAAACACATTCGGGCGGTGCTTCGGCGAGCACAACCTTTTGAAATCCACCCGCTTTCAATCCGTGAAATTCCTGCACCCTCTGAATACGAATTTGCTCAGCGCCGAGGAGAGACCCAATTGTTGATAACGACCCGCTTTCCATCCATGAAGCGCATGCTAATGTTTAAGACGAGCGCGCGCGGCTCTGAGGCGTGAGCCACATTTTGAAAACCACCCGTCCTGCATCCGCGAAATGCTTGCCAACTTTTCATACGAATGCGCGCGACGGTACGGCGAGAGCCAATTTTTGAAAACGATCCGCAGTGGATCCCTGAAGCTGCTGCGACTTGTTATTTAATCGCTTCGCTCATTCCGCCTGCCCATCTTGCCTCGCCGCTGTCGTTTGTCGGGGTGTTGTTGTCAATGCGGTGCGGTTGGGCGGCTGCCATTTTTCGGAGGCGGTGGGTGGCGGGTCAGAGGCCTCATCGATGTTGGTTGGGCTGTCGTGGTTGACCTCTTAGGGGCATTTTGGGAGGCATTTTTGAGGCCTCTTGGGGGCCGTGTTGGGGCCTCTTGGGGGCCTCTTGAGGCTTCTTGGGGTGCCTCTTGGGGGCCCCTTGGGGCCTCTTGTGGACCTCTTGGGGCCTCCTGGTGGCCTCTTGGGACTGAAGGTTTGACTTTTCCGTCCCTGGTCACCTTCTTGGGCCCCTCTTGGGGCCGTCTTGGGGCTCTCGTGGGCCGTCTTGGGCGCCTCTTGGGGCCATCTTGGGTCGCCTTGGGGCTGTCTTGGGGTCCTCTTGGACCCTCTTGGGGCGATCTTGGGAGCCTCGTAGGCCATCTTGGAGCATCGGGAAACCGAGAAAGGAGAAACCCGAAAACGTGTCCAAGACCTAAGGACAATCTGTGACTTTTGCCTCTTGGGGCCCTCTTGGGAGTGCTTTTGGAGGCCTTTGGGGGCGTCTGGAGGCCATGGTGGGCGTCTTGGAGCGATCTTGTGGCATCGTCGGCCGATCTCTCGAGGACTCCAAGGGCTCTTGGACCGTCTGGGCGCTCTCTTGAGCCCGTCTGGGGCGCCTCTTGGGCCGTCTGGGGGGTCTCTGGCATCTCTGACGGGCATTTGCCAGGACTTTGGCGGGGTACTTGTCACGTCGGGGCCCCCAGGGGCCGCCTCGCGCGCGCGAACTTGTTATATTGTTAACTTGTTACCGGAGATCTTAGCACGCCTCTGGCCCGTTGGGCCGGCGAATTTGCTTAGGTCCAGGATCATACATGGTGAAGAAGTTTCAGGCGAAACGCCCAGCCCGCCCTACCAACATGTCTCGCGGTGCGACGGGGAGGAGTTATGCACATGAACGAGCAATGGAGAAGGGGAGGGAGCGCGCGGATCTTGTGCTGGTTCTACAGTCAGGTGACTGAATTGCTAGTGCGAATTTTGACGAGGTGTGTCCGTACCGACCGCCCGACCAGCCGACCGACCGACCGAAAGACCGGACAACGACCGACGGCGACGACCGACGAATGACAACGACGGCGACGTCCGACCGACCGACCGACCGAACGAACAACCGAGCGACTCAGCGGCCGAGCAACCGAGCGACTAACGACGATGACGACGACGAACGACGACGACGACGACGACGAGCGAGCGATCGACGCCGACGACGACCGACCGACTGGCCGACCGAGTGGTCGACGACGACGACGACGTCGACCGACGGCGACGACCGACAGACAACGACGACGGCAATGACCACCGACCGACCGACCGACAGACCAACGACGACCGAACGACGAAGACGACGACCGACGGCGACAACCGACGCACGACGCACGACGACGACGACGACGACCACGACCGACCGACCGACCGACCGACCGACCGACCGACCGACCAACAACGACGAACGACGACGACGACGACGAAGACAGCGACGGACGGACCGACTGACCGACCGACGAAGACGACCGACAACAACATCGGTCGCCGTCGTGAAATTCTATAAGGCCAAATCTAGCAGGCCGACCGCGACCGGACCAGGTCAAATTCTGGACCGCGCATGTCAGGCAAAGTCTACAAGGGAGCCCTTGGGATTTGGGAGATCGAGGGGCTCCTGGGTAGCAGGAGCAGGAGGAGCAGGAGGAGGAGGAAGACACGGAGGAGGAGGGGGAGGAGGAGTGAAGGCGAAAGAGGAGGAGAAGGAAGAGAAGGGGGCAGACAGGCTGTGGCGCCATCGGGGCCTGAGACCTGCCCCTCCTCTCAGGACCCCCAGGGCTCGGGGCGCTGGAGCGTGCAGTGCGACGGGGACGCGCAGGGGGTCTACACGTTCGCCGCCGCGGAGTTCACCAGGCCGCGCCAGTGGGGCAGGGGGCCGCCGCCGCGGATGCGGGCGAGGAGGAGGAGGAGGAGGAGGAGGAGGAGGAGCAGGAGGAGGAGGAGGAGGAGGAGGAAGAGGAGGAGGAGGAGGAGGAGGAGGAGGAGGGAGAGGGAGAGGGATGAGGGGAGGGGAGGGTGGGGTGGGGGGGAGGGGAGAGCGCGGGGGGCAGCAGGGGGAGGAGGAGGAGGCGGGGGAGGGGGAGGAGGAGCAGGAGGTGCGGAAGACAGGAGGAGGAGGAGAACCAGATCTGCAGGGAGTCGCCCCCCTGCGCCCGGGGAGGGGCTGCAGGGCCCCCTCGGGCGGCGCTTGGCGCGGCACCCGTCTGCGAGCCCTGGCGGCAGGCAGCGCTGCCGGTGACCGTGGTGCCCGCCACGCCTGGCCCGCGGCAGGGGGCTTTCCGAGCCGCGCCCGCCTGCCCCCCTGCCACGGGTCCGGCACCGCCAAGATTGCCCGCGGAGACTGGTCGGGCCCTTTGGGGCCCATGCCTCATAGAAGCCAGGCTTCCCTGAAGGCCTACCGCAGGTTGGCCTACGCCTCGCGGCGCGGCCGGCCCATCGCCATCTTCGACGTGATGCAGCTTGTGTGATAATCCAATGCCGTCCAAGGTCGACACCAGCACTGACAGCATGCAGCCCACTGGCACGAAGTACATCGCCATCGCGGTCCACAGGAACCACGAGCGGGGCGAGAAGAAGGAGCACGACGATAACGAGGACGACTGCGACCAGCAGCAGCACCACCACCACCACAACTGTGCGACCAGCCTCACTACGACCACGACCGCGACCCAAACACAAAGCTGCGTAACAGGCAGCAGGACTCCGCCAGCACCAACGCCGACGCCTACGCCAGCACCACCGCCGACGCCTACGTCGGCACCCAGAGCACCTACGACCAGGCCAACAATGAGGAAAAAACTGGACGAGGCCAGCGTCGAAGAGGCGTCGGAGAACTCCCACGACTACCTGGGGTTGGTTGGGGGACTCGGAGGAAGACCTGGGGGACCTGGACTTTGCTGCGGCGGTGAAGGCCCAGGAACCGGCCCAGGATGAGGCCAGGAACCTGCCCAGCACAAGGCCCAGGCCAGGGGCCGCCTTCCCGACAGACCGCGATCTCAGGGAGACAGCTGCTGAGGCCGTGCGAGCCGCCACAGCACGCAGCCACCCCCATGAATTAAGACCAGTTGAACCAGCAGCACCACCACGAATACGACCAGCAGCGCCAGCAGCACCACAGAGAGCACGGAGACAGCAGCGGGCCAGACGACGAGGACGACGCAGGGTACGAGGGCGAGGACCTGGATCTGACGGCGGCGGCGGAGGATTGGGTGGCGGCGGCGGCGGCTGGGCAGGCGGCGTCGGCGGCTGCTCGGGCGGCGGTTGGGGGGGCGGCTGGGGTGGACTCGGCAATGTTTACGTCAGCATCGAACCAGCACCGACGCCAACATCACCCCCAGCATCAGCGCCAGTATCTAAGACGGCATCGACTCCAGCGGTGGAGCCAGCATCTACGTCACCACCAACGCCAGCATCGACTCCATCACCGACGCCAGCACCCACGCCCGCATCGACCCCCGCATCGCAACCAGTCCTCACGACAGCATCGACGTTAGCACTGACACCAGCACTAACGCCAACATCGAAACCCACACCGACGCCAGCATCAACTACAGCGTTTGCCTCAGTATCGGCGCCAGCATCCGCACCGGCATCGAGGACAGCATCGACCCCAGCATCAGTGCCAGCATCTTCGCCAGCACCGACACAAGCATAACTCCCAGCATCAACGTCAGCATCGACGCCAGGAGCAACAACACCATCGGCGCCAGTATCGACTACAGCACCGCAGACAACACCGACTCCAGCACCAGAGCTAAGTTGCACGTCAGCGACACCATCCCTGACCCCCGCATAGAAGCCAGCAGCGACGCCAGCATCGACACCAACACCGACCCCAGTATTGCAGCCAGCATCGACTCCAGTGCAATCTGCATCAGAGTCCGAACCGACGCCAGCATCGAAGCGCACACCATCGGCAATCCACGTGCAGAACTTGGACGGTTGCATCGTATGCGACGCCCTGTTCGCCACCTTCAGCCTCGTCGGCCACTACCTCGACTGCAACATCTTCGCAGACCAGTCCTGGGTGTCCTCTAGCCACGGCATCGTGCTTCTCGTTCCGACAGGTCGGCCGCGTCAGCAATCGTAGAGTCCCGCGCCAAGCTCGGCATCCCCTCCGGCTGAAGAAAAGCTTCAGTCACGGCATCGACCTATGCCGGCGCCAGCGCCAGTGCCAACGGCTATAGGGACACCAGCGCCGGCATCAACAACACCAACCGTGAAGCCCCTTTCCTGCACCCTGACCGACCTGCCGCCCAACGTCTCACGGGACGACCAGGAGCACCTCGACGACGACCAGCAGCAGAACCGCCACGAGTGCGACTGGCAGCCCCCGCCAGCAGCATCAACACAACAGCGACTACGAGCGGCAGGAGGAGGACTGGCTGGCCTCCCCAGCTCCGCATCGACTACGGTATCAGCACCAGCGCCGACTCCGCCACCAGCGCCAACCTCAGCAGAGGAGCTTGCAGCTACTACTACTACTACTACTACTACTACTACTACTACTACTACTACTACTACTACTACTACTACTACTACTACTACTACTACTACATAGGCGCCACCAACCACCCCAGCATGGAGGCCGGCACCGACGTCAGCCTCGACGCCAGCATCGACAGCATCATCAACGTCAGCACCCAAACCTAAACCGACGCTCGCATCGACTACACTGCTGACCTCAGCACAGGCGCCAGCATCCACACCACCACCGAAGACATCATCGAACGCAGCACTACTGCTTGCATCGATGTCCGCACCAGCGCCAGCATCGACTCTAGCATCGACGCCAACACAGACGCCAGCACCGACTCCAGTCAGACTATCGAGCACCCAAACCAGCAGCAAACCAGAGACCAACTCCGCACCGCCAACACCGAGGCTGGCGACAAGTCCGACACACAGATCGCTCCCCAACCAGACGTCCAGTTCGATGCTCAGCGCGGCGCCATGTCCCACTTATCGCCCCACGCTCAGTAGCGCGACCGCGATTGCCACGATAGATTCTACCAACAGCAACGGGAACATCACAACGGAATCCAGTAGCACCACCCTGGAAAGGCAGTATTGACGGCAGCACTGACGCCAGCATCGAAGCCACTAATGATGCCAGCATCGGCGCCAGCACTGCCGACAATGGCCACGGGGGAGGGCAGGGGAAGAGGAGGAGGAGGAAGAGGAGGAGGAGCAGCTGCAGCAGCAGCAGAAGGAAGGGGAGGGCGAAGACGGCTGCTTAGGAGGAGGAGGGGGGAAGGTGGGCTGGAGGGGCAGGCGAAGGCTGAGAATGAGGGAGGGAGGGAGCAAGGAGGAGGGGCAGAAGGGGCAGGAGGGACAAGAGTAGGAGGCAGGGAGCGGGGGAGGAAGGGCGGGAGCGAGGGAGCATGGGCGGACGGATTGTCAGGAGGTGGCAGGGCCGCGACGAGGAGGAGCAGCACGACCGCTGTTTCCCTCCCCCGAGGAGCACGCGGACCCGCGCCTGCAGCCGTTTTTGCCGGCTGCGCCAGACGCCCGCGCGATGGCTTGAAGATGCAAAAAGAGGTGTAAACGTAGTCTCTCAGAGGTCCGCGCGGATTTCGTGGATCGGCGCTGGACCCCCCTTGCTGGCGCGCGGAGCGCGCCAGAGGCGGCGCCGGAGGCGCCGCCTAGGGGGTCCAGCGCCGATGCAGGAAAGCCGCGCGGACCTCGGAGAAGGGTCATGGGTCAAGGGTCAAGGGTCAAGATTGTATGCTCGCGAACTGGCGGGTGAAAACGATGAGGCGCTCATGTGGTGAAGGAAGTGTCCTGTCACACAATTCCAGGAGCGCGTGTCTCGGGCTGCTGCTCTCCTTGCAATACGCGTCTCTATCTAGTGGATGGCACCAACCAAAGACTTCTCGGATAGATAATGTCACTGTCGGGGACTAAAGCGTGTCGCTCCGTTGGTTCTGGCCCAGCACGCATCGGTGCGACACGCTATCCATCTCCTGGTCCCCAGGCGTCCACGTCCCGAGCTTTTTGACAGGCCTCCCGCCCCGCGGAGCGGAGCGACACGCTACCCACTGCAGGGCATAGCGTGGCACCAGGGCCGAAGCCAGGACACGCCAAGCAAAAGTCCACGACCGTAGCAGCCAAAGACACCTCGGAGAAGTTACTTTTATGTCGTCCTTTATTCCTCTACGAACCTGGTGCGAGGCGTCCAGGCCCGAGAGCACGCCGCGCGCCCGAGCCGCGCGCGCGGCCGCGGGGTGGCGGCTCGCGATGGCCTCTGGGTTCTGCTCGAGGTCACCGCCGAGTGAACCGCCACCCAAGTCGGCGAGTGTGTACCAGATCCTGGCCTGCTGCGGGACCAAAGAGCCGCGGCAGTACACTGCCCTGGAGCAGCTGGAGGATCGGGTGCCGGCGGAGGTGCAGAAGGAGGAGGAGGAGGAGGAGAAGGAGGAGAAGGAGGAGAAGGAGGACGGGGTGAGGAGAGGGAGGATAAGTAGGAGGAGGAGGAAGAGGAGGAGGAGGAGAAGAAGGAGGTGCCCCTGGCCGAGGAGGCGTAGGAGGGAGAGGGGGGCGGGGGACGGGAATGAGGAGGAGGAGGAGGAGGAGGAGGAGGAGGAGGAGGAGGACGGCTTTGGAGAGGGAGGACGTGGGAGCAGGAGGAGTGGGAGGGGAAGGAGGAGAGGGAGGAGGAGGAGCCTCCCTGGCAGCCCTGGGGGCACATCGGGCCAGAGAGAGGCACGTCTGCCCGCCCCCGCCTTCCCCGAGAGGAAACCACCTCCGGCTGCTGCACCCTCCGGCGCGTCGCCGTCGTTGTGGCGGCCGTCCTCGTGGCGGGGGCCGCGGCGGCGGGCACCTCCTACGCGCTGGCGCCAGGTGCGGGGCGGAAGGGGACGGGGTCGGCTGCGCGGACACTCTGGCGCGGATGCTTCCCGCGTGAGGTCGCGCGTGAGCACCCCCTCCTTCAGTGTGGCGTGCCACGCCGGCGCCCCGCGCGCGCCACCGCGCAAGGTCGCTGCGTCATCTCGCGGGAGGCCCGTGTCTCTTCCCAGACCCCGACGTCACGATCCGTCGACGACGTCGACCCCAAGGGGGTCTCGACCCCTTCCGCGGGACCGGCTCTTCATCCTGAGTATAAATTTTCGAACGGCTCCGGGCCCCGTTGAGGGCCCCCCCAGAGGCTCAGAATAGCGGAAAACCTTCCCTCGTGATGTTCTCATGACTCGAAAGGATCTGGGCTCCCAGACCCCCGACGCCATGACTTTTCCATGACGTCGACCCCACCCCACAGGTCTCGACCCGTTCCCCGGGGCTGGCTGGCTCCTCGTCGCGGGTCGCTTTTTGACGGTCCCGAGGCCCAGAGAGGGCCCCCCCTGGCAGGGGCCGCAGACCGCGGAAGACCTCCCGCCGTGACTTCTCCTCGGCTCCATAGGGGGGGCCTGGGGCTCGTCCCGCAGGTCTGCTCGAGCCGGCGCTGGCGCCGTTCGGGCTGGCGCCCCCGCCGAGCGCGGCCCCACCCGCGGAGCCTGCGGGCGGCGGGCAGGGCGGGCAGGGCGGCCCGAGGAGCGGCGGCGGTGCCGCCACGACGTCGCTGTCGCAGAGCCACCCCGCGGGGGCCACGGAGCTCCAG